TTGTGGTTATTTGCTAGATAAACACTCAGAGAAGGCTTGGAAGTGGCAGCTGATGCAGTTCACAATGCACAGGTTCTTAACTAGAAATTATTGGTTTTTTTTTTAAACTAGCGTAAATTTAGTTAAAAGGGCTGTGGGGCGTGGATTTTGGTCGTACAGGAAACAGTGTGACCTTAAGTGCAGGGATGCAGGAGTGCCTAGTCTGTCCCTACCCCTCACAAGGTTTGATGGGCAAGAGCCTTATGAGAGACACACCATGGCAATGGTTGGGTTGGCTCAGAGAGAACCAAACAGTGTGGGTGGCAGTGGCAGTCCTTGTATACCCAGCTATGAAAAGAAATATGTACCCCCTCAGAGTCTGACACTCTAGAACACAGTCCTGTTTGCTTCATGCTAATTATAGTTCTGTCAGTTGAAATCATTGGTTTGGGGCTCTGAGGTAGTGACTAGTGTTCCTTTTTCTGTTCTGTACAGGTTTACTTTCTGAGCTGTTAGACAGTGAGCGAGGGTTTGGTCCCTTGTGCTGTTCCTGTACTCTTAGAAGGTAGAGGCTTAAACATGTGAAAACAAAGGGTTGTTTTTTCTCTCCCTTTAAATACTTTGTTTCTAGAATAGACTAGGGATGGTGTGGTGGTGGCAGAGGCTAAATGATTTTGTATTACACGCAATGGAAAAGCCCTCATTTCCACTTTCTGATTTGTCTTTGTTTGAGATTACTTGGAGGGAACAAAGCACATTCACCAGATCTCTAGATCTTTACGGAATAGTAAGCAGTTATACAATGAACCCTCAGCCAGAAATTGGACTTGCTCTTCTTCCTTGAATGGCAAGGATAACTGAGCCCTAGCATTATAAAGAGAGTGGCAGCATGGAACAGTAGTTAGGGCACTAGCCTCAGCACCAAGGCCTGGACTCTTATAGGCCTCTGACTCATACTGGCTGTGCAATCCTGGTCAAGTCACATAAGAACTAGCTATCTTCCGTATGCCGAATGATTCCCGGATCCCCATATCCAGTCCTGATCTTTTTTTGGGAACTTGGCCTGAATCCCTGGGCGTTGATAGGCGAGCTTTCATAACACTTTTCTCGTATGTCCTCTTTTCTCCACCCACATAGCCACCAGCCTGGTGTGGGCGCTCATCCCCTGTTCCTTGTATTATTGCAGTAGCCTGCTGGTTGGTCTCTGTCGTCTCAGATCTCTCCCCATTTCCCATCCTCTACTGAGCTGCCAGATGATCTCCTACAGCAAAGGTCCAGCCACATCCCCATTCCCCTGACCACCCTTCCAACTTCTCCAGTGGCTACCTACAGGATCAAATATAAAATATTCTGATTAGCATTTAAAGGTATTCACAATCTGGCAACTTCATACCTTTCCAATCTTTGCAGACTTTTCTCCCCTTTAAGCAGTCTATAGTCCAGCTATACCGGCCTTCTTTCTGTTCTTTATGTGTGATACTCCCTCCCCAGACTGTGCAATGGCACTGAGGCTCTCTTCTCTATAGCTGGAATGCTCCACCATCTCCCTTTTACCTCTCAGCTTCTCTGGCTTCCTTTAAGACTCAGCTCATATTGCATCTTCTGCAAGAGGCATTTCCTCACCCCCACCTCCTTACCTGCTAGTCCTGTCCCTATGACATTACTTTCCATTTACATTGTATAGATCATATAGATACATAGTTAATTGCGTGTTTTCTCTCTTATTAGAATGTATGCTTCTCAAATTGAGAGCAGGGAATGTTTTTGCCTTTCTTTATATCCCAAGTGCTTAGCATACTGCCTGGCACTAATATTTCATTTTATTTTTTTAAAAGCAAATAGAGTTGTATAGCAAGTGCTGAATAAATGCTTATTAACTGAATAGGCACCACTAAAGCCATATGTTGCACAGAAGGTGCCAGTGTCCATTAATAGGGGGAATAGCCTTACTTGAGATTTCCCTGTACAGATGAAATTACAAGTTCAATCTACATCCCAGGTGTCTTCCTCAAAGAGAAACCCAGAGTTTCTTATCTGTAGATGTGATGTTGAAAATGAGCCTAAGGAAAGCTCAGAGATGAGCAGTGCCAGTTGCCAGACTGCAATGTACTATGCAAAAGTGTCACAGTATCTGGCATTAAGGAAGGAATATGCAAAACCTTGAAAAGCCACCAGGGATCATTTCACTTTGAAAATGCTTTAATAAGTGTTGACAACACTGCTTTGCAAAATGTAAAGGTACTATACAAATTCTTAATACAAAAAGAATAAATTAAAAGCAGATTTTTCTTTTTAGATTCTGCAACTTTTTCTACAACATACATCTTTTAAAATTGATTACAGTCAAACAGAATCCAGTAAAATCATTTTACATGCTCTACAGTCAGTTTCAGGAGCAACCTAATCTTCCCCCCATTTTTTAAACTAGAGTCGATTTTACACAACTTGTAATAAAACTATTGACATTAATGTATATGTAAAACTTTACACCTAGTTAACTAAGCAGTAACTGGTCATCTGATAGCACCTGGATGGAATTTGCTATATTTTGAACTAAACTAATACTGAATGAAAACAAATTGGATTTTTTTTCTTTAACATTTTCAACACTCAACTGCATATAATAGACTTTTAAAAAATCAACCTGCCTCACAATATAGTCTGGTGTCTCTGTCAACACCAGTTTTCTGGCTAAACAGGAAATTTCGTACATGTATCCAAAGAACACAATAGTGGCTTTAGATCAGACCAGGGGCTTAATATTTCATTTTATTTTTTAAAACAAATATGGTTGTATAAGAAGTCTGCAAGTGCTTGTATACAATAGCTATAATGTCTCTCATCATAAGATGTTTAAACATGTTAATCTCAAATTACTAACGTTTTATGTACATTTGTATTAATTGAATGCAGCTAAACAGTAAAACCTGTTTTACTTAATCTCCTGTCTCTACTACCAGACTGGCATGAAATTTGCCTGGTAATCCCCTTACTTGTCTCTCTTCTCTTCCTTCCTCCAAAAAAATCCCAGATAGTTTTTTAGGAATATATTTTCCCCTCATCCCTTTTGTAGCAAAACAACCAGACTAAAATCTCTCTTAACTTTGGATTCTTGACACTGTCCATTTTAGAGTGTACAGTTTTCAGGGGTGGGGAACCTGCGGCCTGGAGGCCAGCTGTGGCCCTCTAGGTCCTTGGGTGCGGCCTCTTGACTGAGTCCAAGTTTTACAGAAGAAACCCTTTTATTGAGGGGACTTGTTTTGTGAAGCTTGGATTAGTCAGAGGGCTGTACTTGCTGCAGGTTCCCCGCCCCTGGTAGACTAACAGTTGTATAAAAGTAGTGTATGTAGTTGTCTCCTCATTCTCCTTGTCCCCTTTTTAGTCTTTTGTCCCTTAGTGCCTCATTCCCAACCAGCTCCATATATAATTTTTGTTCAGCCTGATTTTAGCCCTGAATTTTTTTTTTTGGGGGGGAAATTAAAATGTTCATAAAAATAATTAAACTTAACAGGTGGACAAAAATATTTGGTAACATAAAAACTGACCAGCATTTACACTGAACTGCATATCTCCAAACAGTCTATAAATACAAATTCTTTTCTGCCCACTGATTTTCCTGATCTCATCATTGAGATGAGAAGGAAATGACACACACAGCACAAGTGTTTGAGGAACTGCCCAGACTCTCATCTTTCCTCCCAGGCCTGGGTTCTGGCTTCTCCCCACTGCTCCGCTAGACCTTACTGCCTGCGCTATGATAATTGTTGCATGATAAATTGTTTTCTTTTAGGTTTTAGTGTTTTGGTTCTTACCCTCCTGGTCTGGTAGTCTATTGTTATTCTTGGATCACACACACATATAAACAAAGGATTATCCATTTTTTTATTTTTATTTTTTTTAAAAAAGTTTTATTCTAAAGCTAACTTCAGTTTTGCTTTTCCACAAAATACTCCCAATCCCATTCCCCCCCTTCCCTCTCCCCCCACCCCCTTCGCCCCTCTGGCTGTTGAATGCCTTTCCAATAGAAACTCGTTATCTGCACAGAACAAGTGGAAAAAACGTCTCCTGCTCCCTCACCTTCCCAACCCCACTTGTGGCAACAAGCCCAGCCCAGCACCTCTGTGGAAACCTTGTTTGTGCCGGCTTACATCACCCAGTGGAGATGGTGCACTTGTTCAGTAATATAAAAGTACTTGAGGCCTTTGAAGATTGATGGCTTTCTAGACAGGTAAAAAGCATTGCTCATAATACGTGTAAACTTGCAGCCCCTTTAAATCCCCTTCTTTTTTCTTTTTCCCCTTCATCCATTTTGGGCATCTACAGCTAAATCTATGCATCAAGGTTATTGATAATGTTTTTGGTGTTATTGTCCCTTGGGGAGGGGATTTTTTTCAAAAAAACCTCTGCCATGCCTGCTGGCTAGGAGACATCCTACTGAAAATCTTACAACTTAAGAGCATAGTTGTATTCTTTAAATAAGTGACACATTAAGTAACTAACTGGGTGCTGAGAGCTTTGAGATCTGAGCCCTTTGTTACCCAGGCGCTAACCAAACATGGAAAGGCCTACAACAATTAAATGCTAATGTAGCTTTACCACTTGGATGGATCACAATGTGCTTTTAACCCTTGGTTTGCCACAAAAAAAGAAACACCTCATGCATAAAAGAGGATGTGATTTTATGAGTTGTTTTCATGATAGACTGCTTGACCACAACCATGACCAGAAAGCAACTAACCTGTCTTGTACCCTGCTTATTCAGCCAGGATGAACAGTACTTGAACCTCCTCTGTTACCCCCTCCCCACATTTTCCCGTCTGTCCAGATTACTTAGGACTGTGGGTCAGTGATGCTCTCCAAGACTATATAGTGTCTTTACCATCCGTTACACTAGCTTGGTTTTTCAGGCTAAAGGGGGAATAGGGGTTAAGGGGGGCAGGCAGGGAGGGACTCTCACTTCTAGGAGTGATTGAGAATGTGAAAGGAGCTTACAAAAGCAGACTGCCCTCCATCTCTTGGCCTTTCTTTTTTGTTGGTTATTTTTATTTTATTCTTTGGCAGCATAGAACTGATTGTGATCCTCTGATGTAGCTCTGAAGTGACAGGCTTACTTTTTAATTCCCCCCAAACTGTTGTGTTAAAAAAAAATACTTCAGGTGTAAACTGTGAACGTCCCACATCAGACATCCTCTTCTGGAAGTGCTTGGTTGGCCTAGAGATGGCAGGATGGACACATTCTTTCTGGGTCACAGAAGGGTTGCACTGCCTTTATTTCTGTCTCCAGGGTTGTCCCTCTGTCAGCCCCCCTACCCCCATATCCTTTAGTGACATGGGCCTCGATGCCATCTCTTGATTGTCCCTGGCCTGGGGGATTCTGTGGCTGGAGGGCTGGAGGCAGCCACCAGGGATGCTTCTAAGGATTTGCATTTGGCTCTCTGTGGACAAGAGAGCCATAGGACACACAGTGGGATCGGAACCTTCCAAAATGTCTCCTCAGTCAGGTTTTGAGGGTGAGGGGATGAGGAGAAGGGAGGAAAAAAGTGCTAAGAGCTGAAGCTGGTGCAGGGTGACCGTGTGTCTGGGTAAGGCAAATGAGAGGCAGTGAGGTGATCTCAGAATGGCATTGAGAGATTGAGGCCCAGCTCATTCACACCAGAGTCCCGGGCTTGGCTTTGTCCTGTCCATACCACTGGACATCAGCTAGTTCTGGATAGAGGGGAGAATCCAGGAAACAGCTATCATTGTAACTCCTGCAAAGAAACCCCAGAGGAAAAGCTATTAGAAGTGGCAATCTCTTTATAATCTCTATACACATTTGAGTCTGAAGATACAACTGAGCACTTGTACACTCTCTTGTAATTGTTCATTATCATTTCATGTGTTGGTTTTTGCTTCTCACAAACTACACTTTTGTTTTCCTTGCAGCAGTAATATGCAAGAGAGTTAGTGTAGGACCCAGGTTTAGATCTCAGCTCTCTGACTTAGGAGTTGTGTGACCTTCATCAAGTCATTCAGACTTTCTGGGCCTCAGTTTTCTTATCTGAAAAATGGCCTCTAATGTCACTTCTGGCTCTAAATCTACAATGCTGTGAACACATCACTGTCCATGTAGATGATATTTGATACTGTTGATTGGAATAATTTAAAAATAAAACCTTTCTACCAAAAGTCATAGGATGTGAAGGCATAAGATAAAATTTTAGGGAAACAGAAGAGTCACAGGTTACATGTTTAGCTACAGAAATACTTAAGATTGACTTTCTCCAAAGGATCACTAAAAAAGTATCAGCTTAGTGGACCTTTACTCTGGTCAAGCAGAACCCTTCAAAATGCATACATTTTGTTACATGAAGAGAATTCTTGTATAGATTTTGGGTTGTGTGTAGAGGTTGGCATTTTAAAAGATAACTATACACTTACTTTTCAGATAGAGGTCCCCAGTAAGACAGTAGAATAATTCTTATATACTGATGAGGGATCCAACTTCTATGTGAGAGAACCATCTTTATGACTTGACCCAGTACCTATTTAGCTTCCCCAGTGCATTACCAGGCAACCTAGTCTCCACTGGCAGTATCTCAGACTTCTAATCTTGATCTTTCAAGGCAAGATAAAGCAACCACTTCTTCCTCCATTTTGTTAGGTATAATGATGGACTGGGATTCCACTAGTCCAGAATATGAGGAGGCAACTCATGCTGTCAGTGTAATTAGAACTCCTCTACCTTAGTCCAAGGATCATTAGAGTTAGAGCTGGGAAGGACCTTGGAGTTCACATAGCTTCTCCTCTAATCCTTTCCTTTTCTGATTCCCTATCTTGAGTAGTCTCCAGGACAGAACTAGGTCAAAGAGTTACATGGGTCATGTTGGCTCCCTTTCCTTAAGCTTTGGCATGTGATGATTTCTGATTGGGTGAAATGTTGGCTTTTAATCTTAGCATTCTTTTCCTGTATTAGTGTTTGGGTAATGCTTTCCCTCTCCTTTTACATATCTATGTGTCTTCACTGAGTGGGGGTGGGGATCTTAAATTTTATTTCCTTGTGGCAGATCACATTTTTAATGATAAAGGATAGTATCACTTATTAGAAACACCATGGGGACTATAAACTTGTCAATTATGTTTCCCTGCCTACCCTTGGCTTATAACCCCCCACCATCGTTAAGGAAGTTCAAAGGGAAAAGAGACCAAAGGGTATCTTAATAATGAACAGTCTTCATGAATCCATTTAAGGCCAAGAATAACTAGAAATAATATTTTCCTGTTTGATTTGCTGTCCTCTCTAGTAACTAGCTGGTGAATGAAGGCGCTCTGGGTTTGTAAATGTTTCCTGTCTAGGCTTTTACATAAAAATCCATGCAAGTTGAGAAATTCAAAGGCTTCTGCCAGAATACCCATGGATTCTAATGGGAGTCATGTGGCTCCCTTGAAATGTATGACTTAGCTAGTACTGCTTAAATGTGGCTTCTAAAGCAAGATGCAGTAAAGGCGTTTCATTATGAGACTGGCCACAGATGTTGCTATCATTAGGGAATGAAGATTGACACTGTTACACCCACCCAGCATCCTCTGCCTTAGCTGAGCTGACATTTTCACTGGGCCTGGGGTGTTTGAAACATTTTTAAAGGAAAAGAAAGCTGAGTATTTTTATGATTCCTTTAAATTTATTGTGGGTGTTTTGATTCTGACATCTCACTTTGGGATAGGAGCAGGATGAATCTTAGTAGGGGAAATTTTAGGGTACAAAAGAACCCTCTAAGGAACAGCCTAAAATATTTGAAAAATATTTTCTTTTAGAAATATTTTCCAGTGTCTTGTTACCTCACATCTAATATAAATTCTCTATGTTGCTAAATGGCATAAATGACATGCAAATTCATGAAGCATTCCATATTTTTTGAAGTCTTGCCTGTTCATAATTCCTACCTGCAAACTATAGTGGATCTGTTCCTCCTCTGCATACCCTTAGAACTTTGTTAGTGTTGCAGTAATTATTACATATCACACCCTGCCTGGTGTGAGATTATTTTGTGTTACTGTCTCATTTCCCCTATTAAATTGTAAGCTACTGGAGGGCAGGGAATATATATTATGCATCTTTATAGTTGTCATTGCACTGAGCATTCAGCACATTTTTTTTAATAGAATAATGGTAATTTTATTATAATATATCCTGGTTCAAAGGAGATTCAAAGTACTCTAGACAATATCAGTCTTACTAAGGGCTCATTAGAGTGCAAAGCACACTCTGAAGTAAGGAGCTTAATTGCATTTAAGCTTTAACAGTGTTGGATTTAAACTCGATTCCAACAATTCTTATACATGATACAATCCCTTTTGTGGATCACACTGCCTCCTTGTGGATGAGCAATGACTTCTTTTTTTACTAGGTCGGGAATCAAGAATTCCCAAGGATGGAAATAGCCTTGAGACATGGAAGGCCCTCTACCACATCACCTGAAGCATCTCAGAGACAGTGTCAACTGTGATTAGTTTAATTTTCAATTCCTTCTTATTACATTTTTGGAGAAAATAGTAAAAAATGGAGCTACAAGAAAAATCTCATTCATTCCACTCCTAGTAGGTCAACAAAGAGTATTTCCTAAGGATTACCACAGCCATTATTATAATACATGGCATTTAAAGCCATGTATTATAAAGGAATGTGGCTTCAACTATGTCTGCCTCTTGTAAGTGGGTAAAGTTGTTAGGATAGAGACATAGTGCTGATGGCAAGACAGAGTCCTTGGAATCATAGTCTGCATGAATCTGATTGGACAAATACGGTATATGTGTACCATGATACCAAATATGTACATATGTACACAGGTATTGTGCTTTGAGTGGATTGAACTTATAATATGAATTAAAATTAGGATAATTATTCATCTTACAAAGGATTAGACAGAGTTCTCTTTAGGCAGTTTAAGTACAAGGCAGTCCTTGTTAGCTGAAGATAATTTGTACTGGAAAAAATGGCAACATTACATAGGGAATCTATTTTATATGGGTACCAACATTTCACAGTAAATAGTAAAAAAGAGGTTTTGTTGGAACTTTATCTTGAAAAAACACTAAAAAGCATGCAAATATGCTTATTTTATATTTAAAATTTAGATTATGATCACAACTAAGAACTATTTCTCAGAATGAACAAAGAAAGAATCAAGTGACTACAAATAATTTTTTTTTGGTGCACAACTACCCTATTTTGTTGGGTTTCTTCCTATTCCGAACCCCTAAAGTGTTTCTCAAGGTTCACAAAATTCTATAATCAACAAACATTTAGTAAGTGTACACTTTGTGCTCAATTCCTTTGTGTTTACTCTTTCCTTCTCTGCTCCCATCTGCTCTCTAATGACTTCAATGATCACTTCCATTTGGGAGATAACTTGCTGTTAACTATATTTCCAACCACCTAGTCATGCTTAAGCTTTCAAATCTTCCCTGTTCTTTCCTCCTCATACCTAATTAGTAGCCAAATCCTGTTTATTCCTCCTTCCAAATCTCTCTCATATAATCCTTTCCATTCCTCACTATCTTCGTCTTAGTTCAGGTCCTTACTTTCTTGCACTAGGGTTTTTTTTAATAGCCTGGTCACTAGTATTTCTTTTCCTCACTCTGACACAATCTCACCTATTTACACTCTGTTGTAGATACTAGTGCCAGATTACTTCTCCAAATGTACAATTCATCATTCCAGTCTTCTACTCAAAAAACCTTCAGTGGTTCTCACTGCTTCCAAAATAAAGTCCAAACTTGTTAGCCTAGTCTTTGAAGCCATACAGTAGGGCCCTGACCTGTTATCTACCCAGCCTAATCTCTTCCTTTTAGACATACTCTCTGCACCAGCCAGAGTGCACTATTTGATATATCATGCACACAAAATACTCAGTGTGGTGTAGTGGATGGAGATTTGATTTTGAAACCAAAAAGATGCAGGTTCACGTCCATCCTCTAACACATACCATCTGTACGACCCAGTAACTTAACCATTCAGTTCTCCAAGAGACATTATAAGACTGTAAATGGCAGAGAAAGTGCTGAGCTGCATTGGTAGAGGGAGTTTCCTTACCTGGAATTTTCCTATGTCAGTGAAATCATAGGTTTGGTCCCTCCTCCTATTCTTAAATTTCTCTTTGATACCTCAGCTTCCCTTTGCCTAGAAAGCCCTCTTCAATCTTAGCCTGTTGAAATCCAAACAGTCTCTTAAATACCAGCTCCTTTGTGGAATTTTCCCTCATGTTCCGGTGGGAAAGGATCCTCCTTTCTTCTGAAGTTGGTTGGTACTTTGTATTCTTCTTATGATACTTAACATATATTGTTGTCTTATCAGTAATTTAATCTATACAGTTATTTCTGTACCTGCCATGCTTCCTATTAGATTTGAAGCCCCATCAGGAGAGAGAGCATAAGGTCATAAAATCTTGGTATATGGCACAAAATATTGGATACAAAATGCCTTCAAGTAAATGATTTTCTTTTATGAATGAATAGTATCTTTAGGAGAGGGAGCATAAGGTCATAAAATCTTGATATATGGCACAAATTATTGTATACAAAATGCCTTCAAATAAATGATTTTCTTTTATGAATGAATAGTATCTTGTGATAGCTCTTGAATTACTATCATAAGTTTGACTCTTGGATTGTTATTCAACTTTTTATATGGGAATTTCTTTTTCTGCTCTATCCCATCCTTACCCATTACTCCCTTTCCCCCAGTGGATTTCCTAAAGTCTGGACTCCAAGTGCTCAAGAATTATTAATTATAGATATTTATAGGTTTTAGCTCCTAGCATAGTGCTGTATACATTGTAGGTATCCAACAGATATTTGTTGATTAAATTGATTTCTGATGAATTTTTAAAAGTCACCTGTTTTCTAGGTCAAATTGGGGGCAGCTATATCTTATATCTAAATAGCACAAACTATTTTTTAAGGTCTTTTGTCCTACATTATGAAAAAAATAGCTAAGGACTGTAGAATTGGGAGGATAATTATACCTACATGCATCAAGAAACAAGACAGTCATAATAGCTTCCACATATTCAAATGTTTCCTTCTAGCTATTATGGTATGATAAAGAAAAACACATCTGTATCGTATCTGGGAGCATTAACTAAAGGGAACTGCAAAGAGAAAAAGATCATAAGAACAAAAGATTCCCTTACTATACCTCTATTCATCAGTACTTTGGTGAGTTGGCGACTCAGACTCATCCATAGTGGGTGAGTTTTCTGTTGCTTCTCTGAACAAAGGAAAGCAAAGGAAGGAAGAGCAAAGAAGTAGTGTTAAAGAAAAGAAGTGACACAGACATTGTTAAGAGCTTATTAATACAGTAGGAAGAATAATCGGTGGATCATCTTTGCATTTCAGAGTGTTAGTGACATACAACCCAATGGTTTATACAAATTTTCAAACCACCTAATTTAAAATAACCAACTTTTTAGTATAGCAGACAGACTGACATTATTTATCTGTGGTTCTCTCATTCTTACTTTTTGCCTTTTTTTCTAAACCTGCCACAACATGCCATATAACTTCTGGTTGTTATTTATCACAACCTAAATAAGGCATCAGACTAACAGAATTGGTTATTTATAGGACTAAAGTATTCACCTTTTGTTTCTGGGTTCACTTAAACTTCCCAGTGGCTGGAAGTAGTGAGAGAACCCTTCAAAACCAGGTGTAGATGGAAATACCTTTCCAGGCAGGATAAGGAGGGATACCCAAGAGTTTCTAAAGTGTCATTTAAACACTTCTTGTAGAATAATCAGATGTGTGTATGTATATACACATATGCATATGTGTATGCACAATCTACATACACATAATACACTCTACATGTACATGCATGTCTTTCTATCCTTGGCTTTAGATTTCATCCAGAAAAGTCTGTGTAGTTCAGGAGATGTTTTGGGATATGAATCCTCACATCATAATTGTATAAATTAGAGGGATAGCTGACATGAAGATTGTTTGCATCAATGTCTCTGATAACTTTATTCAGTTATCCCTTTTTAATGGAATAGAACCAATACCTAATTGATCGTCTGACTTCCTGATTAATCTGTGTGGACGCTAAGTCCTTCCAGTACGGAGGACTTGCTTAGCTCAGTTGTGGAATGTGTCAATGTGCTATACAGAGCCAGCCTTCATGGTCTGTGTTAGAACCTTCCCTGAAGCCCAGAAGTAACTTACTGCCCAAGAGACAAACCAAGAAATCACAATGGCTGTGGTAATGTTGTAGGTCAGATCCACTGGTTCTCTTAATTCAATTCAACTAAAACTTTATTAAGTACTACTCAGTGCTAGAGAAGCAGTTATGAAATAGTCGACAAAGAGCCAAACTCAGAATTAAGGAGACCCAATTTCAGGATGCCTCTGATAGATGCAGATTTTGTGATTCGGGGCAACTCACTTAACTTCTCAGGGTCCCGTGCAGCTTTCTAAGACTACAAATTGAAGTGATCTGTGTTATTAAAGCAAGTTTCCTCACCAGGAGTTCCTTGCACATGTGAAATCACAGATCTGGTTTAAAACAACAAATGTGCAGATGAGATGGAGACATACAATTACAGACTTCTAAACTTCCTTATAACCGAATTTATGTATAACTGGCCTTAACTGTAACTTTGCGGGCCAAATTATGTTTGCCAAACTTGAGTGCTCTCCCTCTAAGCCAATAGGTCAATCAACAAGCATTTATAGGTATCCTATTGATTCAACAAGGGAATAACTGAAGATCATCACCAGAAGAAGAGTTCATATTAGAGATCTTTAAGCCTGTTATCAACAGGTGTTGGTAGAACTGTGCAGTCCCTCTGCAATATATTTCAGGTCCAGACCTTTGGAGCAGCTATCAGATAAAGATCAGATACTTAAACTTAAAGTTGTTCAAGAGGCTAAAATTTTGGACCCTCACTTAGAAGGGGCTTCCATCATCAATGTAGAGTATACAGCAATTCCAAGGGCCCTAACAATTCCATTTCCTAAAGTGTGGGTGAAGTAGGTGGGCCAAGCAAGAGGGAAGCACCTTACCTGCCAATAATGGCATCAAAAAGACAGAGGGGGAGCTCAGGGCAGCCAAGTTAGGGTAGGTCTTTAGATGTTTGGGACAGCTGGACCTGAGCGGAATTCATTAGACCCAACAAGAAGGTGCTTGGGAAGCAGGTGACTAGTAGCAATGTGGTGGCAGGTAACAGTACTTGACAGTATTTCCTTTTATAGCAAGAAGTGCTCTGTGTAACTGTACAAGCAATTCTCTTTCTTCTCTTTTTTAATACTAAAGAATACCTTATGCCCAGTACCCTGCCTCCCCCAATGTCTTATCCATTCTCTTGTTATCTCTCTCCCAGCTTTAGAAGGCTGCTACTAACCACTTCTCATAAGGCTTATTGATTACCCCTCTATAGGACAGACACTGAAAAGAAGAGAAGGAGCCCAGATGGCACTCACCCAGATTGCCAGGTTAGGATGTGGTGTGGACTGCTTGGGGGAGTAGCTCCGATTTCACTGGAAGGTGTTGAGCTTCTCTGGCTGTGAGGTAAGGCAGCTACACAGGGATCCAGAAAAGATGGGAAAGAAAATGAGAGTCAGAGCCAGGTACTGGACAGTTAAAGGATTTGAACAATGGAATGCTGCTAGCCACGTCCAGGGGGTTCTTTCATGAGTTCATCCCCCTTTATGTATGCAGCACACCAGCAACATTTCTCTTCCCCTTTCTTGAGCCTTATTGCTCTGGGGGTGCAACAGGGGAGTTCCCTCTTCTACTAATACCTTGCATCATCTAGTCTTGAGTACCTGCTTCTGGAAGACCTTGGGACCAGCTGAGGGGCATGAATATTTTGATAATTATTTCAGTATAATGGGTTTTCTTTGTAATCTTACATATTCTGTTTTACATATTTAAAATATTTTTCTGAGATGGGTTCCATGGCATTAAAAAAGTTAAGAACCCCAGATTTCCCGAGTAACCAGATGGAGAGCATGGCTTAGAAAAGCCCACTAGGCTTCACCTTACTATGTTATGTAAGATGTACTTCTATGGAAACTAAAATATAGCTCTGTCATCCCATAGAAGAAACAGGAGACCTTTGAAAAGAACAAAGAAAATCCTTGTAGCTGCAGCAGGGGTTAAGAGGTGTGTGTGTGTTTTTCAAGTTGTATTTGGTTTCATTTAGATGAGTGAGCACAACTTGTAAAAACCATACATTTGTAGTACAGATCAAAATCCTGGTTCCCCAAGTAAAAATTTCAGAATGGTTCATCTTACCATTGGTTCAATGTGACCCTACATAGCCAACTCTTTAGCTAAAAGGGGCTCCTCTTTTTGTGGGCATTCCTGAGGTGTAGGGGCTACTTGCATGGAATTTATGCTCATGTTCCATGCCTCCTCTAAGACATCTCCAGCTGTCCCAAAGTGAGATGGGCTAAAAAAAGAAGCTGTGGCCTTTCAGACAGGGCTTCTTGATTTATATCTAAAAACCACAAAAAACAGTCTCTTAGCTGGTGCTCTTCCAAGGGAGGCTACTGGACAGGTTTACTATTTAAAGAGAACATAAACAATCGCATTCATTCATCTGCAATGTTTAAAACAGTTCTTTCTGCTGGGGGAGCCATTGTTTGAGAATTATACTTTTTGAATGATAGGATACTCTTAAGTTGATCTAAGGGAACTGAAAAGTTTTCATTCTTTATCTCTTATAGTCTCTCTAAGACAGCAGTGGCAAGCATCATCAAGCCTGTTTCTGAGAATGAATGTGGAGGTAATAGTCCCAGTCCACATAATGCAATTAATTAAAATTATATAAATTATATATAGAATCCCTATAGCTAGGGATACTTGAAATGAATTCTTGCTAAATGATTGACCTTTGGAAAGTCACTTAAATTCTTTGAACCTCAGTTTCTTCATCTGCAAAGTGGGGATGATAATAATTACACCGCCCTCCTCACAGGGTTGTTGTGAAGCAAGAGTTTTGGAAACCTTAGAATTCTGCGTTCATTAGTTATTGCTGTTGTTACTGGCTAGCATAAAATAAATTAAGAACCAACAAACAGAACTCTAGTTGGTAGATTGGTATTCTTTCTTCCCATCGATTTTACACATCATCAGTGCCAGTAATTTTTAAAAATTGCCCGTTCATCCAGATCCTTAGTTTTGTTACTAAGAATGTTCCTTCCCAGTTTTTAGCTTTGATTTGGAGCTTCTGATCCTTTCTGTCATTCCAACTCCAAATTTGACTCCTTTTTCAAATGGTGAGCTGTCTTTATTCCAGGTCACTAATGGGACACTCCACAGGCATGACCTGCTGTACCTTACAGGCTTTAAATATTAATTTCCAGAGTCAGTTTAAGCACTATGGCCTTTTTGGGTGGTTCAGTCTGCCAAGCCTTTGGGATTACTCTCTGTTGTCTCTCTAGGGGAGCCCAACCCTGTCCTAACTGTTCATTAACTGAGTCACTGAACATCTCATCATGAGTCAGCTCAGATGATCATTCCTGGCTGTGCTGCTTCCTCCTTAGGGCTCACTTTAATAGCTCTCTGAGGGCATGGAATACTCTATCTCAATATACTATTTGAATTTCAAGTGAAGTTAAGCTCCCTTCTAGCAGCGCATTAAACCTAAGCTGCTCATTCCTGACTCCAAGGACCCACACCCCACCCACCGGACAAACACATTGTCTTTCCCCTGCTCATTTCCTTCACTCAGAGTTTCTTGTCTCATTTCATGCCTACCTTCTATCCTTCAAAACCCAGCTTCAGTCCCTCCTTGAGAATCTGATTTCTTGTCAGTTGCATATGCAGGACCCTTTTTGTTCTATGAGTGGTATGTGTGGTATGCTTCTTTCAGAGAGGAGTCATAGAATCAGAGGACTTTGTGGTGGAAGGGGATTTAGAGGTCAACTAATCCAACCCTTTTGTTTTACAGTTGGGGAAACTGAGACCCAGAAAGGTTAAGTGGCTTGAGTAGGAGAAAAGGGATGTAAAGACAGATTAAACTCTAATTCTAGGCATGTCCCGCTCACATAGAGTGAGAAACCTGGTAGAAAACCTTAGGCTGGTTGCCCTCCAGCATCGATATTAGCTGGTACATTTTTGTGTTGTTCTTCAGTTGTGTTCCAAATAGGCCCAAAAGCCAAGAACTGGATTGAGGAGAAAGTGGGGAGAGGTTAGGTAAGGGTCCTTAACCTTGGATCCAGAATTTTTTTTTTTAACAATCTGATAACTATTTCAATATAATTGGTTTCCTATGTAGGGAAGAGAATAGGAATTTGTTAAGCACCAACTATTTGCCAGGCACTGTACTAAGCACTTTACAAATACTGTCTGATTTGATTCTCAAAAGACCCACTTCATCATGTGTTATTCAATATTTACTTCATGTATTAAATATTTTTTTTCCTTCTGAAAAGTGGTTCTTAGGCTTCACCAGACTGTCATAGCGAACCACGACATAAAACAAGCTTAAGAACCCCTGAGTTGTAAATAGTTTGGCATGGAAAACTCCATCCTCACTTACCTAATGGGGATCTCGGAGCTATTTTCTGTTTTTAGCACTGTGTTTACTAGAGAATTGAATTGATTTTAACATCCAGACCCAGCTCAAGAAAGCATGCACCAGAAGCCCCTCTCTTCCCAGTCTACTTTCTCACCTGATGTGGCTTTGCACATCTGAGGCATTCTCGTTACCCTGCTGTGAGCCACAAAGGTACTCTGAGATGATGTACTATACTGGGAGCCGCTATCTGATGAGGTGGAGCTGGTGTGCGACAGACGGCTGTGCTCCTTGTGGGAGGCAGTCGAGCGCTGGTACCACAGCCGGAGCTCATCCGACACGACCGTCCGGCCTGAGCTTTTCTCATGGTGGCTCTCCCGGCCGAGGGATGGAGTCCGTATGATCTGGGAACGGGAAGGGGTTAGCCGGACTGAGTCCCCCTCATCCCCGTGCCAGCTTTCTTTGAACATGCCTCCTGCAGTGTAGGAGTTGGATGTTTTAAATTGTGCTTTTACGCTATAGTGTCCCTCCTGGTCATTCTCCAGGCTGCGCACTACCACAGGGGTGGAGCTTCCCTCAATGTACAGTGGGTACTCCTTGATGCGGTACTGAGAGGAAGGCTGGCTCTGGCTGTGGAGGTAGACTCCATGGTGGCCTGCGCCATTCCGGGCCGCCAAGTTGGGCATGCTCCCCGAGTTGGAAGAGACCAGGTTCCCAGCTGATTTATGTCGTTGCCGCTGCCTCTCCCTCGCCTTTGAAGGGGAGTCTTCAGCGAGGGTGGAGTAGTTGGGGTTCATCTGAGCTGGATAGTAGTGTTCAGAGCTTGAGTGACTGGTACAAGAGGAACAGTCATCCATGGGATCAGAGCCGTTGCTGCTACGAGTCCTTGGGGTGTAGAAGTCAGGGCTACCAGTGTCATTCTCTGACCCCAGGAGCTTGCCCTGTGATTCCAAGCTGGAACTCCGGTGCCTAAAGTGCAGTGCTAAGCTGTGCAGTCTTGTCGGGCTGATGTCAACTGACCTGCGGAAGAGCATTGGAAACACTGGTCTTAGTTTCTACTTGGGGAAACCAATGGCAGAGCCAGGGGAGGGGAGAAGAAACTACTGAACCAATGAAGCTATGATTTCTTCTCAGTTATTCCACAAATGAATAAAACAGCCTCAGCTTGTAGGCCACACACTAGAAAGATAGGTCAAAATGCAAAGCTGTAAAAGCAGTTTAACAGCCTTATGTTCTCTTGGATCTAGAAGGAATGAATCAGTTCCCTGATATAGGAATATAGAGCATAATAGTTAAAGTAATAAGAAATATCTTTAAAGTACTCTCCAATGCTGTAGAAGCACTTTTTTTTTGCTTAAAAAAACAATTGCTATGCTAACTTAAAATAATTCTTATCTATTCTTTAAAATAGGCAATGTTTTGTTAGCCTACTAATGTCTACTCTTAGAAGTACTATAATTGCATTTGTTATTACATAATAACATAATAAAAATATTTCCAATTCTGACATGGTTTCCCCAGAATTATTAAGTCAGAGTCTGATTATGCCATATTTAGTGTTTTCAGCTTTCAGTTGCTTAGCTAGTAACTTGTTCTTCCTCAGAGGTAGCTCTGTATCATTACCCAGTTTTCTGAAAGAGAAAACCAAATATTCTGCAGTCTCATTCTTCACAGGTCGATTGGCCCACCTGAATCTCCTCACTGGGCCAGTAGGAGAACTGAAAACAGAACAGTGGAGTCCCTGATTTCTTGGCCTATTGGACCACAACAGCCTTCCTATGTAAGAAGTTTAACATAACTACCCTATGGTACAGTGGATAGAGTGCCAGGACTGAAGCCTGGAAGATCTGAGTTAAAATCTGGCCTCAAACATTTACTAGCTGTAAAGACCCTGGGCAAGTCACATTACCTCTGTTTGCATCAGTTTCCTCATCTGTAAATTGGGCATAATAATAGCACCTACCTCCCAAGATTGTTGTAAGGATTAAATGTGATAATACTTGTAAAGCGCTTAGCTCAGTGCCTGGCACATAGTAAGTGCTATATAAACGTTAGCTATTATTGTTGTTATTGTTATTAACTTTGCCTTTCTCTATGAAAATGCTTATCGACTCAGTTAAGGAGAACAAAGTAGCTGTAGATAAGTATCATTGCTATCCATTTTAAAATAGTACATGTGTGTTAACTTAATGGGAATCTTTTTTTTTTAAGAGATTTAGAAGGAAAGAAAGATCACATATGCAGAGATTGCTTCATCTACCAATCACTTAAGATACCTACCTACCTTTTAGATAAAAATTAGCTCCAATTTGGAGTGGAACATTGTCTTCGAGGCATACAAGTTGCAATATATAACAGGTCAGCACACAGGGCTGAGAACTTCTCAGACCTTGTCAGATGTTTCACATCTTACCAAGAAATCTCTTGAGTATTCATTTCAGGTTTGATGAATGATTATCTCAAAGCACAAAAGGGAGACATGTCTGTACAATTTCAGGCACTCACAGAGCTGAGATTGACAGCTGAGATCCATTAAAGTCTTTCCCATCAGCAAAAAGTCATTCTGATTAAAGAACTAGTACCTCTGTTAACCTGTACCACCCCATGTTTCCATTTTGACCAAGAAAGCTCTTCCTAGACTGACAATCTATAGAGAACAGGGAAGTCTCATACACCCCTTAGGACTTGGCAGTGTGTCATCTGAGAGCTGTGGCTGAAAAATGCTTACATCTGTGGTCTCATTTGCATTCTGGAGCAGATGTAGGAAAAGTCCCTGACGATTACTGAAATCAAGGCTTTAATTAATCAGTTAGCTAGAATAATTTGGGAATAGTAACCCCCTACAATGTTTGTCAAGCTTTGCAAAGAAAGCTGTGATGTGAGTTTCTCTGATAAAGGTTTCACATCCAAAATATATAAGGCACTAATTCAAATGTATAAGATGAAGAGATATTTCCTAATAGATACAAAGGCTAAAGAATATGAACTATCAGTTTTCAAAGGAAGAAATTCAAGCTATAGATGTAAAAATGCTCCAGTTGCTAACAATAGAAATTCAGATTAAAGCAGCTCCTAGTATCCACCTCAAATCCATCACGTTGGCAAAGATGGCAAAAGAGGAAAATGACAAATACTAAGGAGCTGGGGGAAAACAGGATTCTGTTGTAGTAGAAAATTCTACTGTAGTGGAATTGTGAATTCTGGAAAGCAATTTAGAACAGTGCTCCTAAAAGTCATTAAATTGTCCTTACCCAGCAATAACATTATTAGGCCTATACACCAGAGAGATCTGGAAAGAGGAAAAGGAGCCAAATGTACATTACAAAAAATATTTACAGCACCTCTTTTCATAGTAACTCCAGCCTGGAAACGAAGAGTAGTCCACCTACTGGGGAATGGCTAAACACATTATGGTATGTGAATGGTATAGGAATATTATTTCATCAGAAGAAATGATAAAATGGACAGTTCCAGGGGAAAATAGGAAGATGATGAACTAATGCAGAGTGATGTGAGCAGAAGTATGACAATAATTTATACAATGACAACAATATTATAAAGAAAAACAACTTTGAAAGACTTTAGAACTCTGATCAACACAATGATAAACCACAAGTCTATAGGACTGAAGATAAATAACATACTACCTACCTCCTGCCACTGAGGTGATAGATTTAAAATGTAGCATAGGATATATTTTTGAACGTGGCTAACATGGGAATTTCTTTTTATGGACTGTATATTTGTTATGATACCTTTTAAAAATTTATAGTTGATGGGAGGGGCAGGGTAGTGGGAAGGAGAGATAATAAAGGCTTGTAAAAATAAATAATTTTTTTTAACCACAAAAGAAAGCTGCAAAAGAATCGAGTATCAGAAGACTTACCTAGTGGAATGGACGTAGTGAGGGCTTCGGACCCGTAGATCTGGTGTAGATGGCATGCTGGACTGGGAGTTCCAGTGAGGGAGACCTCGGATGGGACTGTTTTGCAGAGAGTTGCTTCCTCCAGCTTCTGTACAGCTACCTGTGCTGGGGAACCTCTTGTGGCTACTGCAAACCGAAGGAAGTCACACCTGTCATCACCAGCTACACGTGCACCTTGCCAAAGGCTCTAACTGCTAACCTGATGCTCTTGGAGTCTGGCCTCAAGAAGATTAGCTGAGGACTTGGGCGGAAGCCTGGCTTTCCAAACCTCTAATTTTTGTTTTCTAGCTTTTGATCTCCATGTTCACTGGCTCAGATCTTTTTCTGTCCAGTCTCAACCCTATACCTCAGTTTCTACTTTCTGAGACACAGATGACCACCTGACAAGAAGAGACTTCTGGAGCAAAATGGAGTGTGATTAAAAATAATGGGGAAAACTATGAAAAAATTGTTTTGTCTTTAAAAAAAAAACCACTATAAAATAGCATCTGAATAGTGAACTGCTAATTTCCAGCTGAGATCACAGCTGTTGGGCATGAATGTTCTGTTGCATGGTAGTTTACTGTCCTGAATAAATTTGGGATTCATGTGGGTGGACTGTGGTCATGTCATTTTAGAAAATTGCTGCTTAAGATTTCCTAATTCATTCCCACGAAATCCAGCACTACTAAAGTCATCTTTGGATAAACAGATTATGAAGCAACCCTCAGATTGATATATCTTTGTATGGGATACCTGAACACCTCTACACAGTCAACTGTATTGACTCAGACCTTTGGTCATGTTGCAAAACAATCCTTCCTCAGCAGAGGGTGCTGTTAGCCTAGGGTGTAGAAAGTTTAAGTTGCCAATACAGGAAGAAGGAAATAGTTTCAGCTTTTAGTTTATAATTTGTGGACTCTCTCCTCATGTCACCAGGATAACATCCATGCACATGAGGCTAGGATTGGAAGGGACCTTAATAAAGATTATCTAGGAAAGGGAGGCTAGGAGAGGTTAAATGACTTGCACATGTCATAATTAGTGGCTGAGTTGGGACTAGAACCCATGACGCATGACTTTCAGGTCCAGGATACTTTTTAGTATGCTGTGCTGACATATGACATTTACAGAGTGATTCAAGATGAAATAACACAGTCCTTGATTCACTTCATCCTCAAAATTACCCTGGGAGATAGGTTATTATTTTCTCTATTTTATAGATGAGGAAACTGAGGCTCAGAAAGGTAAAAAGACAAGATGCAAAACCAAGTCTCACCGGACTCCCAAGATGAATGTTTTTCTCTACTTTACCACCACCTTTTATCCAATTAATAATAAAGGAATAAACTAATGTAAAAATATGTAAATGTCTTAATTGTGTCTTCCTCCTCATGGCTCACCTGGAATGACTGTGGGAAGAGCGCTTCTTCACCTTCTCATAAGGTTCATCCAGAGAAGACTCACTCCACATTTTGGGCTTTATGGGTGACTTATCATAGTCATTCCGGTGATAGTGCATCTGCCTTAGTCCCTCCAGGGACTGGGGAGGAGGGGGTCGGTTGTGCGATGGTGGTCGAGGGGGGAGCCCTTTGTGAGGGGACTGTAAAGGGGAAATTGTGCTGGTAACCTGAGAATCTTCTACAGAAAGAAAGAGAGAGAGTGAGAGATAAGTAGCAAGGGTCATGCCATTAAAACATCAGTATACACTGTATTTCCTCAGATTACCAACCTAGTGCTAGGCTCAAACTTTGTCATTCCCATCTTCTGCCCCCTTAACTCACTCACTACTGCTGTGACAAGTGCTGAAATGGGAAGACTAGGATTTCTTTTTATAGGAATCTCCCAGATCAAAGTCTTGTGAAACACATAAGATCTAGCTAATATTAAACACCATAAAGGAATCATTCTTTTATGCCTAAGACAAAACATAGATATTGCCACACTGTAAACATTCATTCATGAAGAATTACTCAGTATATGTTATATTCTTAATAGTCTGCTATGTACTGTGGAGACATCCAGCAATTAGAAGATCCATTTCTAAAATAATCTGTTCAAATTACCTGAGTTGAGAATCTCATTAAAGGTCTTTTTTTGAGTTGTAATAACTGAGTTAGTTTTGAAAGGCAGTGTGTCGTAGTGGATGGAGTACTAGCCTTGTAGCCCCGAAGACCTGGGTGCAAGGCCTACCCCTGACACATGCTGTTTGTGTCACCTTGGGTAGATCACTTAATCTCCCAGTGCTCTAGTCAACTACCTAAAACTATGAGTTGCAGAGAAGGAGGTTGCTGCCCTTCAGTGGTATAACTCTACAGCAATGAATTCACAGTCCCTATTTTAATCTCAAATTTCACAAGCAAACAGGCTACAAATCTTAAATAAATAATAATAACTCTTGCATACTCTTAATGCTAGATTTTTTTTTTAGGCACTTGGGGTGAAGTGATTTGCCCAGGGTCACACGGCTAGTGAGTTAATGTTAGATTGTTAATCTAACAAAATGATGTATGTGCTGTTGAAATTTCAGATTAAGAGAATTCATTTAGTCCAAGAAAATGTATTCACTTATCCAAGAAATTGTTTATTGCATAGTCATGGAAGAAAAGCTGGATCTTAAACTTAAGTTTTGAAAGAAGTATAGAATTTGCAAAGGAAAAGGTATAGAGGAAGAGATGAACAGTGATTAGATAAAGGAGAAGAAGAATAGTTGACCTTTATTTAGCACCTTAATGCTTAGAAAGTACTTCACAGTAGAGTTGTGTCCTACGCTGGGGAGAAGGTCTAATGTCAGCTCATGATACAAATTCCAGAGAGTCAATATTATTCTCAAATTCCTTTAAATTTCCTGGTACAGTATATTTAAGCAGGAAAGAGGCCAGAGCCTCTTTAAAAAAGGTAATCTCTCAGAGAGTAGGTGAATGCATCTGAGATGATGACTATGAGGGAAAAAAAAATAGAAATTAATTTTTCATAATAGCCAGTGAAGCTATTGATTGGGTGAGAAATGGGAATGAGGATTTTGAATCAGAAGAAAATAGAAATCAATAAGGGCTTAGTTAGCAGGACAACTGATGATGGGCTTTGAACTTAACTGTACTTATATTAACAGGGTGATTACCCCACTCATAACTCTACTTCCTGTTTCACCATGAGGCAAGATAGGACACAAGGCTAGCTGAACGGGAATGCTGTGTGGGTCAAAGAAGGTGCCCCTCTCTCATCAGCCTAAGCAGAATTGATGTTCTTTCTACAGCTATCATGACAAGGAGAGTCACTCTCCATGAAAAGGTATGTGAGAACCAAGTGAGCGAATAGCAGATTGTCATGCTCACTGTTGGTACAAACATTTTGTGAGTGCAATGGTGGTAAGATTCATCTGGACAACTTAAATTATTATTTTTCTCTCTTGGGGACAGGGGCAATAGTGAATACTATAGTTAAATGTGTGTATGATACAACTTCACTGTAAGGCCCTAATCCCATTTGATCCTTCTTAGAATAAATGGTCTATGATGAGGAGAATGTGAGAAAAGATTGGCTGGGTAGGGGGAGGTCACCAGATAAAGGGTCTTCTATGAGTACTTGTGGCTTTATCTAATAGTTAATAGAGAACTACTGTTTCTTAATCTGGGGAGTTACATGATTAAAGTGTTTAAGAAATATTTATCTGGCATGACATATATTATGTAATGAAAGCACTAGGCAGGGAGGTCAGATAGGAAGCAAATATTGAAAAAAACTTAGGAAATAAGAGTGGTATTGAGACTGGAGAAGAAGAAAAGAAATGCGATGGATATTGTGAAGAAAGAATTAAAAGAATTTAGGTGACAAATTGGAGTTGAGGTGCTGAAGGAGATAAAAGAGGCAAAGATTATATTCAAGTATTGATTTTGTGGAGTAGGGAAAATGGTAGTGTTATTGACCAGAAAGTTGGATATTCAAAGGAGGAGTCCTTTCCTTTTAGATATGATGAATTTGCAAGTAATAGTGGAGCATTCAAGTAGAGCCATGCTTTTTGGTTGGATAGAAATAAGGGATTGTAAATCAGATGAAGGGTGACATTAGAAAGGGTAGTTTCAGTGAAGTGGTCAGTATGAAAGCCAGACTCCAGAGACCTATGGAGGAAGTGGTAGATGCAGAAAGAGGCAGAACACCATTCATTTAAGGAGTCTGTCTGTGAAAGGAAGGAGAACAAAAGAATGGTAGTTGAAAGGACTGGGTGAAGATTTTTTCAAGATGAGTAAAGACTTGCATATGTTTGAAGGCATAAGAAAAGCCAATGAAGAAGGAAAAACTGAACCTATTGGAAGAAGAAAGAAATATGGAACCTAAGTTCCTCAGAAGACAAGAAGGACTGAAATACAGAGTGCACAGAGAAGAATCAGTTTCTGAGAGAAAGTAAGATGTGATTTCTTCAGAAACTGTAGTGAAAGATGAGAAGAGAGGCATAAAGATGGCTGTATTCTGGGATGAAGGAGGTGGGGTTTGATGGTCTCAGTCTTCTCCATGAGATGATGCTCCAGGCCCTTCACTTTTGGGTAGAGGTCAGGGTTGCTATGACGGCTGAAGAAGAGTAAGGGACTTGAGGGGAAATTTAAAAATTTTGTAACACTGGACTAGGAGGGTTAATCTCCTAGCCATATGAGAACCAATGATAGAAGGCCCATGTTTCATAAAGGTTGTGAAAGATATCATTTTGGAATGTTCTCTCTGCTCTGTGGACCTGGAGGTCCACCATATCTTGGAGAAATACACTTAACCAGAGGAAACTCTTTTTGGTACTGGCTTGAAGATCCTAAAACAAGAATGAGATGGAGAACATACTGTATTCTTCTACAATGTACTACAATGAAGGGAAGTGGCAAATAGAGAGAGAGAGAGACAGAGACAGAAACAGAGAGAGGGATTATACCACACAGAAACTGCTGTAACAAATAAGCTAAAATATGAGTCAAACCATTGCCTTTGAGACATTGTTGCTAATAAAGTAAATGATAGCTATAGCAAGAAAATATTGGAGGCACCAGGCATGGAAGGGTGGGAAGAGCAGACTGCATTTCAAGGCCCTAGATTCAAATCCTTCCCCTTACATTTACTTCTAGTGTAACATTGGGTAAGTCCCTTAAACTTGCTAAGTTTAGTTTCCTGATCTGTCAAATAAAAGGATAGGACGAGATGGTCCCTTCAAGCACTTCATCTATGATCCTATAATCCTAAATTTATGTTGTAATACAGGTATTAATCCTGTTCCCTTATACCATTGCCATAAAAGAATTCTACTTTATTTTTTTGCACAGCTAGAGAAACTGAGGCCTACAGGGAACAAATGAGTTATCCATCCAGTTGGCATAACTAGGATTTCAGACATTCAAGGCAATGCTCTGTCCACAAGTCTGCCAGCTCTCCCCCCATACTCCTTTCCTCACCTCCCATGTAGTAAAATAAGTAATAAAAATATTATAATTTGGTTTTCTAATAGCAAGACCAAGATGACTAGTTAAATAACCTGCCAGGCATTGCCCACATCAATAGCAATTATTATTACTGTCATTATCATTATTACTACTATTTCTTATGTAACCTTTTAGGTTTTCCCATCTCAGCAGCCACTTATCACTGTCAGCTTGAGGTTTTCCCAAGAGAGAAAAAAAAAATCAACTGCTACTTATGTTTTCATGTAATTAATGTCTCCTCCTCCAAAGTTTGAATTAAGACCCACAAGAACCTTCACAAAAAGGGTTCCATGTTGGTAATTCTTTTTTCTTCAATGTTAATAGAATTCAATTCCATTTTTTTCTAGGAATTTTTAAATAAATTCTATTCATGCCTTGACTTTTCACCTAAAAAGTTATTCCAAATTTAAGGATCATCAAAAGGAGCAAAAATTGCCATGCACAAAGTAAAATAGAAAAACAGGGCCATATATGAAACCACAAATGTTATGTATAGCTTGCTTTTTAAAAAACTATACATCTGAACATAATACTTTCAAAGCAGTTTTCTAATAGTTTTTAAAAAGAAAAGTCTATTAACTGTTACTTTTCTGGAATCCAAGGGAAATTTCTACGTACTTTTGAAGGCCAAACTCAGGGCCTACCTTAGAGGGACTTTTCCCAAATTCATTCCAGCCAGAGGCACTCTGACCAAGAAAGGTAGCTCCTCTACCATACCTCCAAAAATTAAAAGGCATTCCAAAGGAAACCTCAAGCAAAACTGAGACACTCTATCCAACTCAAAATGTGGTTTTAGTCATGGAAGGAAAAAAGTGAAACCCTGTCACAGACTATCACCTACCCTACACTCCACTTGGCTCAGTGGAAGGACTGGGAAACCAATGTACATTTATTTTAGTTGGTCCTAATTTCTTCACCTTTTACTCACATAACTTTTTTTTATTAGTATTAGAAGCCTATTTAAACTAACCTATGCCAGAAAGGAATTCCCATTCTGACCTACCTCACAAATGGTCATCCAGTCTTTACTTAAAGAGCTCCAGTGATTGGAAATCAACTATGTCCTGAGGCAGCCTGGCCTGTTTTGGGGGCAGCTCTACTTGTTAGGAAAATTTCCCTGAAAAGCCCTGTTTGCCTCTTTGCAATTCCACACGTTGTTCCTGGTTTTGCTCTTTCAGGTCATGAAAGACTATGGTGACACAGCTTCCACGTGACAGCCCTTCACATACCTGAACATAGCAATTCTTGTGTTCCCCTGAGTCTTATCTTCAAAAGTTCCTTCAGTTGAGCCTCATATGACAGACTCAAGGCCTTTCACCATTCTGTTTGTCCTCCAAAAGCTGCCCAGCTTTGCAGCCTCCTTCCTAAACTGTGGTATCCAGAACCGAACATAATACTCTGGAGGAAGCCTAACCTGCTCATTTCTAGAAGCCATGCTTCTCTTAATGCAGCCTGAGATCACATTCCATTTTTGGCTGCTACATCACACTGCTAACTTTTAGTTCACTGACACGCTCAGATCTTCTTTAGATAAACTACTCTCTAACCATGCCATTACCATCTTACACCTTTGAAGTTGATTTTTTGAACTCCAGAATAAAACTTTACATTAACCCTTTTTCTTCTCTACTATAACTGCTGAATCTCCCAAAATTAATAGGAGAAAAATGATCTGTGAAAAAGTAATGTCAGTTTGTTTCCTTGTTTTGGTCTAAATACTGATTTTATTGTTGTGGAAAACTTCTGGTGTGGAAATTCCCCTCCTATACATTGACTGACAATTCAACTATAATTTCTGGTCTTAGAGAGTTTTGCAGGGCAGTGAGACACTGACTGGCTTACTCAAAGTCCCCTACTTGCTATTTGTCAGAGATAGGACTTGAACCCAGATCTTTTAGTCTCCAATGGCTGGCTCTCCACTGAACTCTGCTACCTCTCACAAATGTAAATTGTTAATTCTTTTCTTTTTTTAATTTAATTTTTTTTTGTTTTTTCTTTTTTTTGTTAATAGTTATTACTTAATAGTTATTACTATTTAATAGTATGTACTAGTTATTACTTTTTGTTTCTGTAAATTGGAATCATGGAATCACAGAATTGGGAAAACCCTTGTGCCCCAAAAGGACAGTACCTAAAAATAACTTTAAAAGAATGCTAAACCTGGTCCAAGTTCCCAAGCTGGAAATTAACTACCTACCATCCTCAAGGACAAGAGCATCAGAGAGGGAGCTGTCTTCACTGGCAATATTTCCATCTGGCAAGAAACGAAACAGAATAGTTAGAGCACATTTGTTGTTGTGTTGGGGTTTTTTGTTGTTGTTGTTGTTCTGAATCAAACATTTCTCACATCAAGCATTGCCTCTAAGAAAGTGTGTTGCTATCTTTCCACTCCATACTCTCTCACACCTTTCTTCCCAATCCGCAGCAACACCTAACCAACATAGAAATATTAGAAGTAATTATAATGCTGCTCATCATTTCTTTTAAATTATCTCCATGACCAGTTAGTAACAAATCTCCCTAATCCTATTGCTGTGATGTGGCAAAGTAGGGTAGCGTGACTTCAAAGAAGAAAAAACTGGGACATGGAATGGTTTAATGTCAGGTATAAAAGTTGTCCCCTCCCTCAGTTAGGCCCCTTTGCTGTCACAGCACAAGGACATGTGCAGACTGAACTGAGATAATAGGCAATACTCTTTTTACATTTATTGTTCAGGTGAAAAGCTTAGTCATGGTGTTTCACTTTCATTATTAGCCAATAAGTGGCTTCCTAATAAATTTTTTGAGTCTTTATTAGAGCAGATACAAGCAGGATAAATATAGCATCTTTCTCCTAGAAGCTTATTTTCCAAACAGTGTTCTATTAACCCAGCAAACATGATCTCCAAATCCAGCAAAAATGATCTCCTTCCCACATTTACAGCTGGAGAAACTAAGGTAGAAAGGAGGAGAGGAGACTTGCTTCAAGCTGTTCTGCTAGTCACTGTCCAAGTTAGAAGACGATCCCAGGTCTCTTGATTCCCAGTTAAGACCCTCATCTCTTGAAAAGTAAAATCATGCATGTGGGGTCCAAGGCAGGCCCCACTTACCTCTTCATGTCAAGTGGGCCCTTGAGATATAAACATGACTTCCATAAGGCAGCAAAGTCGAAATAACATTCTCAAGAAAACGAGGCCCACATTTTTGCCTGGCTGTAGATTGGAGGGAAGAATCCAAAGGATTGTACAGATGGATTCTTTTAAAGCAGCACCTCCATTGTAAGTTCTGTCAGATTAGCCATTAGTTGGAAGGCTCTACAAAGCTGGAGCTTCCACTGTGGCAAATCACCAGAGACATTCCATTCCATCCCTGAATTTCTCCTCATTCTGATCTGTTGGCCCTGATGGATGTTTCAGCTCAGAACTGGGAACATGGGCCATAACTGTTTTCAATGGGGCATAAAGAAGTAGGCAAATAAAGAATTAAATAAGGAAGGAAGGGTTTATTGTTTCCTTTTATTCTACCAGGTTAGTCTCGGCTCTTTCAAAGAAAATGGGGGGAAGACAATCAGAGAAGGAAGGCCACTGCCTAGCCAAGACCAACAGGGCAAACTAGGGAAAGACACTTGTTTGTAGTCTTCTAAAGGGAGAGTATTTTAAAAATGTATAAACTATGAAAGAACACTTGACAATGTCTTGGGAAGAATTCTCTGACTTGTTCAAAAGAATAATAGGAGGAGGGACTTTTTGCTTCTCTCAGGGACCTCTTTGTGCTTTGTTTGGCTAAATAAACATAATGAATCACCCTTTTAAGTCGCTCAAGGCTGGGGGCAGGTCAGTAGTGTTGGCAGGGTGGTGGCCAAAGTTCTAGCCACCCAGTCCTTGAAGGGGAGTGAGGGTGTCTATGTGTTGGGCGGGTTAAGGGCAGCGGGAAGATGAGGCTGTCAGAGAGCTGAAGTGGTACTACCCTTTTAGGGGCAAGAGCTAATGTTGGCAGGGTGGGCCCTGCCTACAGGGCCTTGAAGAAGGTAAAGACCCTGCTATCAAGAGAGGCTGCTGTCATGGTTTGTCCTGGTGCTCACCTTTTGACCCACCCTCTTTCCAAGTGCCTGGTCCTGATGAAGGCTCTGTTTAGAAATGGGATGAGAGACTAAAGGACATGGAAGATGTCCTTGAGAGCCTTAATTTTTGTCCCTCACATCTGAGCATGGTTTGCTACATCAAGCTGCCTCTGCCTTGGGGAAACTGGGACAGAGGAAAAATTCACATCGTAGAATGGGAAGGATTGGCTGGCTTTCTTCACCATAATTTCTCCCAGGTTAGTAGTTAGTAGAAATAATAATTTGATTTATATAGTTTTCTTTCATCTGTGGATCTGAGAGTACTTTGCTGCTCTGATCTGCTTGCAAACATTAATAACTCCATTTTATTAAGGGATAAATGAAAGCACCGAGTGGTTAATTTATACGCCTCAGGCCGTGTCGGAATGAGGGCACAGAACCCCCAGTAGAACTTGAGTTCCTTGTTTTCTGGGGTTCCATCTGACCACGTTTTTTAGGTGGTTCCAGCTGACAGAAACTCAGGCCATGAAGAGAGGCTGGGTACTGACCATCTATTATCAGTGAAGCCCTCTGGGTGGGTTTCTTCCCAGACTTGATGCGGTTGTCATTGATTGCATTTTCAATTTCTTGCAGCTTCTTCAGTGCATTAAGGTAAGAGGTTTTCCTTTGTTTCTTCAGCTTCTTGCTGACATTGGGGTCACTGGCTAGGCGGCGAGCGGCTTCTGTAATCTGGGATTGGATGGCAAACTCCCGTTCCAGGCGCTCCAACTCAGCTTCCTGTAGGAAGGGAAAACAGGGGCTCATTCACGTGACTAAACATGAGTGCTTTGGGATACCAAAACAGAAAAACACCCAAACCGCCTTACGTGGAATCATAAAATGTTGGATCAAGAACTAGAAGGTACTGGAGAGCCCGTCTATTCAAATCCTCATTTTACAGATGAGGAAACTGAGACCCACAGGAGTTAAATGACTTGCCCAAGGTCACAAAAGCAGTAAGCAACACATGGGATTTGAACCCAGTACCTCTGACTCCAGAGTCAATGCTTTTTTCCACTGTGTCATTACTAGGTGACAAGGGATAAAACTTTTAACATCAATGGTAGCTGCCATGACATCCTCAGTAAGGAAGCCACTGTTTCTAAATCTGCAGCATCTGAGTGTCCTGAGCATACACCCTTAGTTCACTAATTTCCTTTTTACTTCCTGTTGTAGGGTAGGGATTTAAAAAAGATATTACAGGGGCAGTTAGGTGGCTCAGTGGAGAGCATTAGCTCTGGAGTCTGGAGAATTTGAGTTCAAATACAGTCTCAGACACTTACTAGCTGTGTGACCCTGGGCAAGTCACTTGACCCTGATTGATTTAAAAAAAAAGATAGTACCAAGAAGATGAAAATCTTCCTCATGCTACAAGGTCTTGGGACTACTCAGCATCAATTTTGCAGTCTTTTTCACCGTCTGTAACAACAGAGCTTGTGTGGTAACTGCCCATTCCATTGTGATTGACATTCTACTTGTGGCCTAGGAGGCAGCATTGCTTTAGAGCCCTGCTGGCATTCACAATTCAAATTCTTCCTGTCAGTTTGCCAATGAGGGATTCCTACACACATGTAAGGTATGCTGTCACTTTCACCAGCTGCTCACTAAACGGTGCTGCCCAGACATGACTCACATTATACATGCTGCCCCCAACAGCCGTTTCAGAGTTCTCTCCCCCACCTGCCTGTCACACAAGTTTCTGTCCCTCATATTTAGAGAATCTCTCTCTCACATATCCTTTAGAAGTTCTTCTCCCCTTGCTCCTACTTTCCCTGTTCCACCCTCCTACACAGACAAACTCTATCTCCTGAACCTCTTGTCAGCTACATTCATGGTCCTTTTGCTTTCCATGGATGAAACAACACAACTTTCAGGCAGATGAAAGTTGTATGCTTTTAACTGTTAACACATTGACACCCTCATCAAAGCCACTTCCTGAAACGCCCACGTTTATATTCTCACTCACGCCCCTTTTCTCACTTTTACATGCAAATACAACGACTACCCCACCTTTTTTGCCGAACCTTGTCCTTATTCCAGCTCAACATTGCCTGCTTTGCTTGAGGTCACATGGGGAGTGGGGTGCAGTGGAAAGAATGCTGCATTCTCAGTTGGAAGACCTTTGTTGAGATCATGGCACTGCCAAGGGAAGTCATTCAGTCTCTTTGGGTTTCAGTTTCTTCATATGGACAACGAAGACGGTTAGAACTAATAGACCTATGTAAAGTTCTAAGGCCCCTTCTTTACCCTATGATACAGCTTTTCTCTCAAAATTGCAGGCTTGGGATTCGAATCCAGAGCTTCTGGCTCTAAGTCCAAGATTTTTTCCCACTCTACCGCACAGCACCTATCATATTCCCTTCTAAATTGCCTCATTTCCAGGCTAAACATTCCTAGTTCTTTCAAGCTTTCCTTAACCCCATGGTTCTTAATATATTTTTGTTCAGTGGTTTGCATTTGTGCACTTGATTTAACATCATTAAATCTCCATCTTTCCTGCCTTATTAAACTTGTCCAAGGCAAAACAAACAAACAGAACACGCTTGTGTTTGGTTTTCCGATCTCCACTTTCTCCTGCGCATTCCCACGCCATCTCATTATGCAAATGAATAGGAGCAGTTCAAGCTTATGGCTCCCTTCAGTTTTGCTGCCACCATTCTTATCTGACCCTAGGGCTTCCACCATGATTGCTGCATTGGAAGGAGGGCAGAGCCAATATCCACTCTGGTTTCTTCTTCCTTTCTGTATACCTCTGAGTTCTTATTACCCCATACTGCATTCCTAAACCCTATTTATTTTTCTTTAAATTAAAAACATATATTTTATCTTTTTTAATAAAATATTTTTTCCCTTCCACCTCCTCTTTACCTTCAATGAGAAAAAAAAAACCAAAACCCTTGTAAAAATATACATAGTTGAGCAAAAACAATTTCTGCATTGGACATACCAAAAAAAAAAGTCTCAGTCTGCACCCTTATTTCATCATTCTTTTGTTCATCCTGGGTCCAGTGGAATTCTTCAAACCCTCTACTTTTGGTCAGGGCAAGTAGGTGGATTAAGGATTTACAACACTTCCCAACTCCTCCTCCCAAACACACATATGCATTTTTTTTTGATAGCCTAGAGCTAGACTTTAACCTGCACAGAGACTGTCTGGCAACTGTACACACTTTAAGCTCTTTTGGAAATTGCTGCCCTGTGCCAGTCATCATTTCCTTTTGTGCAGGCACATGTGGAATCCTCTAGAGGAAATAATGCTGGCTAACTCACACGTGCAATCCTTAAATTGCTACAGAGGCATTTTACAGATACATGTGTCTCATATGGGGGAAACGGAATCCCTTCATCCATCTTGTCTGTTAACTCCCTTCCCAAGGAAAACTCCCAAACTCAGTGAACCAACTGAGAAGATCCAGTTCTGTCCAAGACTCCGCAGTGTGAAGTGGCTGTTAATAGCAGCGATGCAGAAAATGAACGCTAATATTAGTGTTTGCTGCGATGAGCAGACTTTCTTATTCAACAGCTGAATCCAATATGTGTGCTTCCTGGTACAATCCACCTGGCCAGACGCCTGGAGCCTCCATCAAGGGCAAAGCATCGGCTTGGTTTTATTTACTTTAAACTGTTAAACTGGAGGGGGAGGGAAATTGGAAGTGGGAGAGCAGGAGAGGAAAGGAAGAGGGAAATTAAACTTCTTTGGAGATGACCAATTGTTAAAGCTCTCTCCAGTATATTCTGTAGCTTGCCAGATTTGTTCCATCCAGGGGAGAAGAAAATGAAAACCGACACACTCTGATGTCTTGAAACAAACAAGTCACCAGGGACAATGACTGTTCTGTGAGTTTTGACTCCACCTTACAGCTGCTTCAGGGCTGTTATGATAGCCATGGTTCAGGACACTGACCCAGGGATTTGTGGGAGAGAGAGCCCAGAACAAACACTCCCTATTAAAGTAAGAAAAACACAAGGCTGAACACTCCCTATATTAGAGTAAGAAAAACACAAGGCTGAACTCCCTGTATGTACAATTGACAGCCCGTAGGAAGGAATGGAAGGAAAACTACATTTGGCTTAGAAATCTGAAGGAGTCAGACTGGAAAGGTAGTGGGAGGGAGATGGGGGAGGAAATTCTTCCTGTGCTAGAGTGTAAGACCTTTGAGGAAAGCCAGTCAGCATTAAAAAAAAAACACAACCATTTTAATTTATGAAAAGTAAAAGAAACAGAGGAGAGGCAGCCTGGGTAGTGGAGAGAGAGCAGGCTTCAGAGTCCGGAAGGCCTGGGTTTAAATTCTTTGACCTCCCAGTATCCCTTAAAGTTGCAGAAGAGAGGTCATTTCCTTACCAAGAGTTCCTTATACCAATGAAATCACAAGTCCAGAAGAAGAAAAAAGAGGTCATCTTTGCTGACAAAGGAGGAAAAAGTGGGAACAAGATGGTGAGAGGAGAAGAAAGGGGACTTATTAAGGAATGATTCCCTTTTAAGAGCTCTGGTGCTCAGTCAACAAGGCCATGTATAATCAGAAGCTATTTTTATATGTTGGACTAAAATGAGGGTGTAATCTACATCTAACGTCCCCTTTCACTTTAAAATTCAGTGAGCACTATACTTCTTAGCCAACCCCAAACCACAGCCTTCCATGCCACCCAGTATGAACCCAAGTATTTAGAAGTCATAGAGTCTTAGGGTTGGGAGGCTCCTCAAAGGTCATCTAATTTAACTATTAACGGATCCAGAATTCCCACTAAGACATACTGAAGAATAGCCAGACAAGTCATCTACTAAAGGATGTTGTTTTGTGATAGAGAATTCACAATCTTATGAAATAGATTATTCCATTTTGGGACAGCTCTGATTAGTGGTACTTCCCTCCTCCCCTCTCATAGTAATTCAGAATCAATGTCTGCAACTTCTACCCATTTCATCCAAGTTCTTATCTCTGGAACAAAATGAAACAAGTTTAATCCATCTTCCCTAGTGATGGGCCTTCAAATATTTGAAAACAACAACCAAGTCTCCTCTCCTGACTGCTCCCCTCACAAAAAAATTATTCTCCAGGCCTGAACACTGATGTTAATCTCTTGAACAGTTTTTATAAAATATATTTTTTTAAATCCCCTAACCATTATGGTCACTTAGGCCTAGTCCAACTTCTTTCCTATTTCAAGAGCTGCAGACATATTAAAATGTCTTGAGCTGAATCACTGACAACTGAACAAAAAAGTCATCATGCCTATCTTATTTTTTTATCCCTGGTCCCTGGGATGGTCCACCTGCCCTGCAAAATCGCCCAGTACTAGCCCCACGTGCCCTCCCTGCCCATTCCTTCTTACCAGCTAAGGGTGGATCTGTCCAGCAGAACCAAAGTAAGTTACAGATTGTTTGAGGAGCTGCCATCAGGCAAGGGTTCAGGAAGCCCTGGCACATAGGACAGCAGCCCCCAAACTTCAAAACCAGGATCAAATCCCTTTAGGCCAGAACATCTAGTGGTACCAAGCTGATCATTCCCACCTGGCTAGTGATTTTGGAGGCATGTGGCTTTTTCCATACATTTGGCAGGAAACCATGCTTCTACAGGTGCTAATCTAAATGGAAGTTAGCAATAGATTTCATCATGGACTCACTAAAGTTGAATTTATACTGAGCCATATATTTATCTCCCAGTAATAAACTCTGGCATTTCATGAATCTAGAAATTTGGAAGGGATAAAAAAATTATTTCTTCAAAATACTGTCTTAAAGATTTAAAAACAAATATATATCCTGCCAGGTTTTAGCCTGTTGTTGTTCAGTTGTTTTAATCATGTCCAAGTCTCTGTGACTCTATTTGGGGTTTTCTTGGCAAAGATACTGGAGTGGTTTGCTGTTCTCCAGCTCATTTTACAGATGAGGAAACTGAGGCCAACAGAGCTAATGCCCAGTGTCAGCTAGTGTCTGAGGCTGCATTTGAGCTTAGGTTTTCCTGACTCCAGGCCCAGTGCTCTATCCACGATGCCACTTAGCTGCCCATCACTGGTGGACTAGTCTTTATTTCACTTTTTTCTCCTTGGGTCTCTTTTCTTCAGCAGGTCTGGCAAGGAGATCTTAGAGAAATCATATAAATTATTGGTTTATTTTCAGGTGTTTATTTTCTTGTCATTGACCCATAATGTTAAATAAATAATTTTAAGGGAAATAAAAATGCTTATTAAAGTAGCAAATACTAAAAAAGAAATGTTATTGTTATTGTTGAGTCATTTCAGTTGTGTCCGACTCTCTGTGACCCCATTTGGGGTTTTCTTGGCAAAGATACCAAAGTGGTTTGTCATTTCCTTCTCCAGCTCATTTGACAGATGAGGAAACTGAGGCAAACAGGGTTGCCCAAGGTCACACAGCTAGTAGATGTCTGAGACCAGATTTGAACTCAGATCCTTCTGACTCCAGGCCCAGCGCTCTATCCAGCTGGGGAGAAGTGGTGGGGAAGAGAAATTCTGGCCGTAAGTAAGAATGAATGCATCATTATTGAGGATGTGGATATTATAGTGAACAGTTATTGTCCATCCTTGGTACAGTACGAACGTTCAGAGAAAATACAGATAATATTAGTGAATCCAAGTACCAAAAGTAAAGGGCTCACCTCTCCTTTGGGCAGTATTTTCTGTTCATCCAGTTTGAAGGAAGTTCCTATTCTTCTCCGAACAATGGGTGGTTCCTCTCCTGGATCCAAGGGATATTCTCTTGGTAGTTTCCCTGTAAGCTCCTGTATACGTGAAAAAACATTAATAGAGGCAAGAAGCAACCGTATTGGAGACAGATATATATGTATACATATATGTTTGCATATATATATTTGCATCTATAGATATACGTATACACACACACACACACACACACACACACACACATATATACTTATGTTCTAAGACAAACACAGGCACACATACACTCACCCTTCTCAATGCATAATCTTAGAATGATTAACATTAATGGAGATGCCTAATGGGACAGTTGTATTTTAATTAAGATATATACAAATATTCTTTGCCTTACAAGACTGATGCATTCCAGAACCATGAGTTCCAAAACAAATTTCCATAAAGTTACTAATTTCTCCAGTGGCTTCCATTACAAAATCAGAGGGCAGCTGTTCCTATAGGAAAAAAAATTCTTAATCGACTGAACTGGACATTTTGGGGGGAATCAAGGTTCATAGGCCTTGTAACAGTGGCAGGGTTTTCCAGCCGTCTTAGAGCTCTTTGTAACTTTTCACACTCCGGGTTTCTTTTTATTGTTTGTTTGTGTGTTTGTTTTTTACATTTTTGGCAAAGCAGTTGGGGTTAAGTGACTTGCCCGTGGCCACACAGCTAGTGAATATCGTGTGTCTGAGACTGGATTTGAACTTAGGTCCTCTCCTGACTCCAGGGCTGGCACTCTATCCACTCCGCCACCTAGCTGCCCCTACCTGTAAAGTACAATAGCCAACTATTTTGACATACAGCACTCTGCTCCTTCTGTTTCCCTTTTTTAAAGGAAGATATAGTTCTGATGTCTTTCAAGTAGCTATTACATGTGAATTACCACATGCTTATTCCATAGAATGTTTTACTGTTGCCTTGAGATCCTGCCTGTGAATAACATAATACCTTGGGGTGTTATATCAAACTCTAATTTAGAGATTTTTTTTCTTTCATTTTGGCTTGAAACATCCGAGGAGAAAAATAAAAATTATTAAAACTATAACCAGCTCATGACTCAAAAGCACATATGATATCAAAAGAAAATGCAAAATAAAAAAAGTAGACTACTGTTGGGTTTAAAAATCACTTTTTAGAGTCAAAGACTGTAGTGTCCAGAAATTTCATCTGAATGAGTAACTAAGTAACCAAAAAGAAAGTGATTTGATGCCACTGTTGTGGATAGCTTTCCCAGGCTGCGCTTTCTCACTCACTCTCTTTATGGCTACATAGTTCTTGCAAGAAATCATAGCAATTCCTGATATTCTAAATGGAATACAAGATATGCATTTTATAGAGAAACAAATGAATACCATTGGTGAAAGGGAGCTTTTGCCAATAAAAATGAAAGAATGAATTTAGTAGACTAGTGCTGAGAGTGGGAGGTGGGATGGAGTGGGGGTGGAGAGATAACCATGGCTCTAGCCATCTGATTGCTCATCTTTTGCTGTTAGGTTATTTTTTTCTTCTTTGTTCAATTTTTTTTTTTTTGTGAGGCAGTGTCTGGTCTGAGACTGGATTTGAACCCAGGTCCTTCTCACTCTAGAGCTGGTGCTCTATCCACTGTGCCACCTAGCTGTCCCTGTTACATTTCTTAATGTCAAATTTATAGGAAGCTGGGATTGGAGGGAAGGGTGGTTGGTGGTGGGAGGGAATGTCTGACCTGGAATTGAGAGACCTGGATTTAAGTCCAGATATCACCACTTATTACTTGTATGTCATTTAACCTCACCAAGAGACTTAATTTCCTCATCCATGAAAACCATCATTTGCTCTGGTTCTTTTGGGGTTTGTCATAATGGAGGTCTTTATGCCTTGCTTTAAATTCTACCATTCCACTAACACATATCAAAAATATATTTGAATCCTTTAAAAAAAATCATGATGTTACATTTTACCCTCTTGTTGTAGAAAAAAAGTGTATTTCTCAAAATGATATTTTTGTTTCCAGTTTACATTAAGTCCAATATAATTACCAGGTAATATTGTTCAATGTACTCTAGACACCTGTGTTGGTATCTTACTTCCTTATTAAATACTGTAAATTCTATGAGGGCAAAGACTACCCTTTAAAATGTCTATCTTGGGGCAGCAGATGGTGCAGTGGATAGAGCATCGGCCCTGGAGTCAGGAGGACCTGAGTTCAAATCCAGCCTCAGACACATAATACTTAACTAGCTGTGTGACCCTGGGCAAGTCACTTAACCCCATTGCCCAGACATAAAATAAAATAAAAAAATAAAATAAAATGTCTGTCTCCCTAGAGAGCATTATGGGAGAGAATTTGGAACTCAAGATTTTTTGAAAAACTAATGTTAAAAATTGTTTTTACATGTGATTAGAAAAAATAAAATAAAATGTAAATCTTCCACTGAATCAAACAGTGCTTTGTATACAGTAGGTGCAAAGGACTGTTATATCACATGAGATAATGTGAATGGAAGGAAGTATTTTGTAAACTGAAATGCTATACAAGTGTGAGGTCACAGTATCGTCATCATCATGACGTGAGTAGTAAATCACTTCTAAAAGAGTTCCCGGTTTTTGCCGAGATGGAAGGCACTGCTGTATTAGAAAGTTTCGAATACAAAATAAGGCTTTAACATTCATTTATTAAAGATACATAGAGAACCAGTAAGCTTAAAAAATACTTTAAGTATATACTTTATAAAAGTGTTTCCTAATATTTACAATATCACATAGAACATCTGTGGCCATTTGTGTTAATATGGTCCCTCTTTGTGCAGACTCCAGCTTAAATCAATCCAGATGATAATTAAGCTAAGGAAAAATGTAATATGATCTCAGTTTATGGCCCCTTGTCTCATTTTTCCTGCTGTAAGCCATTATTATTTGAGGGGCAGGGAAGCACGTCTCTTTCAAGCAAGGCTGAAATCTCATTTGTGCTTTTCCAGTTTGGACTGTTTACTCCTTGAAATGTGGGACAATCTCTCTTAGGAGTGCACACACATAAAACACATGCACACATACAGAACGTTCACATACACCCTTTTCTCTCTCCCTCCCCACATATATCATATACTTTGTCTTTCAAAATGACATCTATAGAAATGCTCAGAAACAGTCATGGAATGGAAGATGAGGTGGGCATGCAGAAGCACTGGCAAGGGACTGTAGCAGGCTCCAAATCCCAATGAACTGTGAAATGATGAGTGTGCATAATTGGCTTGGATAAATACTGCTTTGTTAATAAAAAAAAATAGCAGTGGGCAAACTTCATTGAAAGAAGGAAAGAAAGAAAGGAAAGAAGGAAGAAAGACAATACTTCACATGTATAGGTTTTAGGGATTTACAAAATGCTTTCTTCACAACAACCCTGTGAGGTAGATAATGCAAATATTAGCATCCCCATTTTATAGATGAGGAGGCTGGGGCTCAGGAAAGTTAAGTGACTTGCCCAAGGTCACACAGCTAGTAAGTAGCAGAGCTGGGATTCCAACCCAAGTCTTCTGAATCCAAGTCCGGTGCTCTTTCCAGAAAAAAAAGGAAGGAAGGACAGAAAGAAGGAAGAAAAGAAGAAATGAAGGAAAGAATGAGGAAAGAGGGAAGAAAAGAAAAAAGAAAAAAAGGATGGAAAGAAGAGAAGAAAGAAAGAGGCAGGAAGGAAGGAAGGAAGGAAGAAAGAGAGAAACAAAGAAAGAGAAAGGAAGGAAGGAAGGAAGGAAAAAAGAAAGAAAAAGAAAGAAAGAAAGAGAGAGAGAGAGAGAGAGAGAGAAAGAAAGAAAGAAAGAAAGAAAGAAAGAAAGAAAGAAAGAAAGAAAAAGAAAGAAAGAGAGAAAGAAAAAGAAAGAATTAACAAAACTCAAGCCCCAGGATGCTAAGGGGATTTATGCATCAAGTGAAAACACTGATTTCCCCTTTCACCCTCAACCCACCCTTTCAATAGGAAATATGATTTATTAAGCCAACTTTGAAATTTATCCTGTTTTAAGACCAACACAAACCATAACAGTATCATATTTAGGCAGTCACAAACTCTTGGCAGAAGCCATCCATTCACTGAGACTTTCAAGAGTGGTTCTAGTCAAGATTTAACAGGCAACAAATGTAACTGTTTTGGTGTGGCTCATTAACTTCCGGCAATTTTTCAATAAAGGCTATATGAATGTCTCTGGAGTATTTTCACTCCTGCTTATGTCCTTCCCACTACTCCCACCCTTTCCCCCTCTGAATGTGTTCCTGGATGTTCATGCATAACACAGTTTTCCAAGGCTGCAAGATGCCCATTGCCTACCGCTTCTCGAAGACACAGTTTCTTCAGTTCCTCCAGTCGCTGGCGGAGTGTCTCCTCCAGAGCTTCCTGCCTAGATTTCAGTGCAGCCAGCATGTCCTTCTTGGCAGACTGAGAGCTATCTGACTCCTGGGAACCTATCAATAAACACTGGTGTTACTAGGCTGGCTTACAATGGGACACACATCTGGAATACTCATGAATTTCACTGGAGCCTCCACTGCGGCTATAGGATAAACCCTCACAAGCAAGAGAGTATGAAATGAAACAGGTGCTGCAAGGCATGTATTTGTGTTGAGTGACATCTCGATGCTTAGCTGCATCTGTACCTAGTCAGCAGAACAGGTGGAAGACTTAACAATTCCAGCAAGTTTATTCTTCCTCAGAGGTGCCACACACCAAATAACCTCATCATCAAATTTCAGTGGAACTAGTAGAGCTAAAGTGACATCAGAAAAAGTTCAAGTGACATATAATAATAATAATAATAATAATGATAGCTAACACTTATATAATGCTTATATATGTGCCAAGCACTGTGTTAAATGCCTTACAATTATTATCTCATTTGATTCTCACAATAACCCTGTGAGGTAGGGGCTATTATTAGCCCTATTTTACAGATGAGGAAACTGAGGCCAACAAAGGTTAAGGGACTTGCCCAGGGTCACAAAGCTAATAAGTGTCTGAAGCTGGATTTAAACTTTAGTTTAGACTTCCTGACTCCAGGCCTAGTACTCTACCCACTGTGCCACACCTACCTAGCTGCCCGATTTATCATCATACATATTTTAAAATGTTTTCTAGGATACCAATACGAATATGGGAGGTTCAAAGGATTTTGAGTTTGAAAACATCACAAGATCACAGGATCACAATTTCAAGATGGAAGGGACTTTAGTGATGTTCCTTTCCAACCCCACTTTCTACAGATGGGGATATTGAGCCCAAGAGAGGTTAAATGACTTGTCCAAAGTCACAGAGGTGAAGAAACAGAGGCAAGATTCAAGCCTATGTCCACTGACTCCAAAACCAATGCCTTAATATTTAAGAGGAAAATGAACTAACAGCAGGAGGGATTAGGAAATAGATTTCAGAATGGCTTTTAGACATATGAATGTGTTTGATATAAGCAAATTGTGGAACTTGCCAAGGCAGGTGAATAAGTCAGATATGAGAACCTTTTACATATGCAAATAATCTTCCTACCATGCTTTTGGGTCAGTAGTGGCACCAGAAATGGTGTGTATTCTGTATATGCAACGAACAGGAGCACAATGTCAAGAGCACAGTGTTTGTGTTCAACTAAGTATAAAGAGTGTATGCACGAGTAAGACCGTCTTCGTTCCCAAAATGAATCATTTCTGATGTTGCTTCCACTAATAGCAGAGGATCACAGAATCAGAATCCTTCTGTGTACTGTAGTACTCAAATAAACATAGGAACCATACTCTTATATTTAAAATCACTTGACACTCTACCTCTTCTAACAGTGATGAATTTCAATGTCTCTTGAGCCATACCGTTAGGCAGTTTATTCATCATGAACCTAAATACCTCCCACTATGATCTGGACATATTTCATTCTTTTCATGCCCAGTTTAGAGTGAAATCAGATAGCTATTCATTGTCATGGCATCTTCTACATGCTGCCGTTATTTAGTCATTTCAGTTGTGTCTGATTCTTCATGACTCCATTTGGGGTTTTCTTGGCAAAGATATTGGAATGATTTGCCATTTTCCTTCTCCAGCTCATTTTACAGAGGGGGAAACTGAGGCAAACAGGGTTAAGTGACTTGCCCAGTGTCACACAGCAAGTAAGAGTCTGAGACCAGATTTGAACTCAGGAAAATGAATCTTCCTGGTTCCAGACCCAGCACTCTATCCATTGTGCCACCTGACTACCCTCCTACATATGCTTTGCCCATAATGGCTCCTTAATAAATACCTGATTAGTAAATTATTGGTGAATGCCATATACTTGAAAAGAGTTATTAAGTGCCTTCTTGGTTTTATTCCTTTTGAGTAGATGATCCCTGTTCTTTAGTCTTTGCTTGTAGGATTTGTATCTCAAAGTTGTAACCATTCACTTTTTTCTCTTCTGGATTATCTTTAGGTTTTCTTGATCATGGTTTGACTGCATATCCCCAAACAGATTACAGTTCTCTTGTGGAAACTTGATCAATGAGTAGAAAATGGTTACCCTGTGGTTCCTCTGATGTGTATTCATGTTTATGAATGCTGCTATGACAATCTGTTGCTGTTTGCTTGCCTTTGACCCACAGCACTACTCTGAAGACTTATGTGCCTTGGGTGGGGTGGGGAGGGAAGGGATAAGGATGTTTGTAAAGAGCCAGCCATCATGTATTAGTACAGGTTTTTCTTCCTCCCTAAGTGAATTATGTTGTATCTATCAGTGCTGCACTGTATTTCATCCTGCATATGTCTGTCTAATTTCCCAATCTGATCAGGTCATTTTGTATCTTAATTTAGTTTTCTAAGGTAATAGTTACCAATCAGAGTTGATGACCCTGGAAAATTTAATGATTATGTTCTCTACATCATCATTTAAGCTTATAATATAATATTCAGAATGCTGCTAGGTACTCATTTTTTTATAAACTCCAACCAAAAGAGACTGATAAATTCAAACCAAAGGAGATTAAAGCAATATTGACTCTGGAGGAAATTCATCTCTTTTTTTACTCTATGACCACCTATGAATGATGATTTCTTAAGGTAAATGTGAACTTAATGTTTGTTTAAAACCAACATAAATCATAATAATATTAGGCTCAGGGAGGTGTATAATCTTAGGGCAATAATGATAGACCATCCATTTTGGTCTCTACCATGGGAAGACTTAAGAATTGGTCAGCACCATTTGCCAAAGGCTAAAATGGTTAATTAACACTAATTAAATTGTTATTACTTTGCAACTCAACCATGCCAAGTGCCAAGAATACATGTGCCAAAGAAAGACAGTGTGGGTGCAGTGGAAGTCTCATGAAACTCCCTGAGTTTCTGGCTCTTTTCTCCAGGGCTTCTTGCTGATGAGCATGCCAGAGCTGTCAAGAGGAATTCTAGAACCTGGGGCATATTCAGTTGTTCTGGGTTTGGGAGGAGGTGGGAAGGTGCTGCAGTGTGGGGGTGGGAAGAGGTTCAGTGCAGTGCTGTGCATTACTGAGACCCAACATGGGTAGGTTATAGAAAATGAAGAATTAAAGATCCAAGTGGCTGGGTTCTTGAAGATGGAAGACGTTAGGATGGAGAAGACTGTGAAGTAGTGCTGAACTTAATAGAGAAGAATCTCTTAACTTCTCATCTTCAGTTTCCTTATCTGTAAAATGTTCAGCTTGAAGGCTTTTAGGCTTACTTTTAGCTCTAAATCTAAATACTGTGTTGGGGAAAGATAAAAAAAAATAAAAATAATTCTATATATGTTCAAATAACTGAAACTGCACAGTAAAAATTAGAGACATCATTATATAATACAGAGAAATAGAACATTTTAGTAAGTCACATTACTGGCCCTAGTCCTGTTTCTCTAATTATAGGAATCTCAATAAGAAGCAAAAAGAGGCACAATAATTCAAGCATTCATTTGTACTATTTGCTTTTTTTTTTTTGGCTAAGCAATGGGGTTAAGTGACTTGCCCAGGGTCACACAGCTAGTAAGTGTTATGTGTCTGAGACCAGAGTTGAACTCAGGTCCTCCTGAATCTAGGGCTGGTGCTCTATCTACTGTGCCACCTAGCTGCCCCTTGTACTATTTACTCTTAAGGAAAGTCAACCTTAGGTTGTTGGGAATCATTTCAACTAAGGATGAAATGGTCTGTTCTATGTCCCATCAGTCTTAGCTGTGGCTGTTTCCTTGACAATGCAGCAAGATTAAGATCCATGTTACTTCTCATGCTGTAATCCTTTTTGCCTACTGGGTTTTGCCAAACTACCTAAAAAACAAGACTTTGAATTCATGTATAGTCAACTCTTGGGAATCCATGCCAATGTGGGACAAGAAAAGCATGGAAAAATTGAACATGCAAATGATGACACAACATCATTTTGACCTATAACTTTAATTCCCTTTTCCACTGATCCTTTTGTTAATCGTATGTCCTAATTTAAGTTTACCCTCTTTTTATTGCTACCCCTCCTCCTTTGTATCTCTAGTTCTTAGTATAATGCCTAGCCTATAGTAAGCACTTAATAAATGCTTGATTGACTCTTTTTCTGAAAGTATCTTAGTGGGGAAGCTATTGAAAGGACCTAAGGGTCTAAAATTTCAATTCAACAGGCATTTTACTGAGCACTTACTATGGATGAGGAATAGAGTGTGCTACAGACATGAATATGACACGGACCCTGTCATAAAGGAGCTTTCAATTTAGTAGGAAGGATAGGAGACTGTAAACACACACACAGACAATGGACATAATATAGAAAAAGAAGTACCCTAGGAGATGTACAAACTGCTATGGAAGCATGGGGGAAGAGAGATTACTTCTATTTGGTGGCTTATGGGAAGCTATATAAAGGAAATAGCATTGGAATTGGGCCTTGAATGATGAGTAGAATTTCAATAGTATAGGGAGAGTAAAGGCATGGAGGAAGAAAAGTACAGGATATTTTCAGGGGATGAGTAGTGAGTACAGTTTGGCTGGAGTTTAGTTAGAATGCATAAAAAAGCGGGGATAAAGTTGGAAATGTAGTTTGGGTCCAGATTGTAGAAGATCATGCTAAAGGCTTTGTTTCATATTCAATAGGCTATTGGGGGGGAGGGTGTATGTGTGTGAGTATGTGTGAGAGTGAGAGAGAGAGTGAGAGAGAGAGAGAGAGAGAGAGAGAGAGAGAGAGAAGGAGAGAAAGAGAGAGAGAAAGATCGCTGAAGCTTTATGGGGGAAGAGGGAGAATAATATAATCAGAAAATATAGGCTAAAGAAAAGTACAAGAAAAAGAACAAAGCAATAGGAACAGTCTACAGTAAGTATTAATAAGTAATCCCTATGTATAAATTATTGTATGCTTGATATGAGATATTAAAAAACATAAAATATGGCACCTGTCTTCAAGGAGCTTATAACTATCTGGAAAGTCTCAAAATAAATGCGTAAAAAGGAAAGAGTCCAAGCCAGTA